CTCTGCCTTGCTTCTGACCCTTCCCAATTAGACCCATCTTCATAAGGCTTAATAGATTTTCAATCTCTTCAATTATGAAAAGCATCAGATTGGTGATCGATAGCCTTGATTCCGAACGAAACTGGCAGGGGTGAGCCACCTCTAGGCACTGCACTCTTCTCTCTTTTCCGTTTTTCAGGGTTCCTCAGCGGGCCACCAGTCCATTATTATTTCAGCTATTCTCCGACATATCATTCGTATGTTTTGCATTTTTCAATTGTGTCTGGTCAACGGCTTATTTGGAATCGTGGAAAAGGAAACAAGCTGAATTAGCCTTCAGATGGGGAACATACGACAGCAATTGCGATTCCTTTCTTCAAGATCCACGACCGCAATTTCGGGTATGATTTCCATGAATGAATGCCCTTCTGAAATGGTATCGACTACATATTTAGGGAGAATCCTTCGCCCCGAATCCGGTATCGGGTCGGATGGAGCCGTTCTATCCACCCTGGAAGCATGCAATTGTTAGATACGGTAGGTGATCAAGAGCATCCAGGCATATATTATAATTTTTGGTATTTTTTTCATTTTTTGAGCATTTTTTACTTTCTATTTTTTCTTTTTTCTATTTTTTTGTATTTGTAGTCCTTAATTTCTTTTTGATTTTTTCAGGTATAACTTATCCATTGACGGTATTCTTTGTGATATGTATGTTCGCTGCAATGCTCATTGTCTTCCAAGTTCAAGATGCGGCTGATTTGTGAGCTCGTTTTCTTCTTTCATCGAGAACTGCTCGAAATTGGGCCTATCTGACGGTTACCCCCTACATTTCGCTTTGCTCACCAAGAGTATTCATCGCGCGGCGATCCAGTTCTGCTGGAAATCTCATAAGACCACCCTTGTGTGCTTGGAGGCGGCAACTGCCCACCTTTCAGTACCTGGGTAACATCTGCCCTGAGAGCTTTCTTTCTGATTAGCATTCCATGATAGGGAGACAACTCGAAGTTGTTTTTTTGGAATTACATTTACTTCTTTCGGATTCCTGGCTCTAACAAAGATGACGAGTCCCAAGCTCGGCTGGGTGAATCTGCTCAATCTTGATCGGCTCTTCAGAAACGACCTTCCAGCATTCTGACTAGGATAAGGTTCATTCAGAGGGTTGCTCCTGATGTAGATAAGCAGGTCTCTAGGATAGTTTGATGATTCGATTTCTTTCAGCTATTTCGGGTCAAGTTTTCTTCTCTCATGGATCTGCTATATGCCCATGATCGTCTATGCCTTGATGATTGTGATCAGTGACAAAATTTATCGTCAACTAGCATTGTTCCTCAATGATCTAGGTAGGCGACTTAATACGTTGCGTACAGTTTACCTTTTCATTTTTGACGCTTTTTTCAGAGAATTATCGAACCGATGATGAATATGAAGACTTCTTAATAAGTAAAATAGTAATATTTCAATTTGTCACCGCTTTTGGATCGTTATTCTACATCGCTTTCTACTTGAAAGATATGAAGAGACTTCAAGAGGTGAAATGTTGACTTCTTATATACTCGATTACTCACATGAACGCTTTCTTCCCATACAGCCCAAAATCCGATCGGTTACGGTGCAGGGGAGCTCCAGCTCCCCTGCACCGTAACCGATCGGATTTTGGGACCTCCAGATAGGTCAGATCGCCTGCAGTCAGGAGTTTAACCACAAGGGCTCGAGGGGTGTGGCATTAGATACTGTACCCAGCCATCCTTAATTGTGCTATTTATCACAGGCTTTGTTTGCTTTTTTACTGGAAGTAGTTCTGAAGTGACAGTCATAAATCTGAGCAGTGCAAGGAGGAGAGGGAAAGGGACTGAAGAATGGGACCTGGGTTATGGCAGCTGAGGATTTGTAGCTTCCACTTTTGATAGATTGGTTGTACAGATGTCTTTTATTGAACGACTCTCTGGCCGCTGTGGAAGGATCCTGAGATCTTGAATCATTTCAAATCCATTTTCAGACCCTAGCGACTTTGCTGATTACTAGGCAGATCACTCAGAATGTCATGGAGACGGCTGTACCCTTCCTGATGGAAAAGGTGAAGCTCAGTCGACTCGCCTATAAAATGACCAAGTCAGTTTTTTCAATAACTTCAACAACTGTGTAACAAAGATACTCCTTTCACATGAGGCACTGTCTTCCCACCCGCATTTCACCTCACCTACATTCTTTAGAAATTCTGTCTTTTTATTATTCTAAGGGTCAGCGCTATCATGACTGCTACGTTGTCCCTTGTCCAGCTTGAATAAATGAACTTCGGATTGCGAAGAACCTATGATGCTAGTAAAATTGCCAGTCCCTGGGGTGACCACTGAGGGTAGACGTGGGGAGTTCGTTTAATGGGTCGCAGCCGGGATTCTTAGGCAGTATTTTGCGCTTGACTCTTCCTCTGCAGGCGCAAGTTTCTTATGGGCTAGGAACTCAAACTGTGTGAGGAATGATGCTATGACCGTGAATGAGAATACTTCCATAATTAGAAGCTGTTGATAGGAACGCATCAATATCCGTAAACATGGCTAATGCGAACCATGGCAACTGTTGCGACAGCGGGTGAAGGAGATGTGGATAAAATAAGTGTGCTGCGAAGTCCACAGTACTCATCCAAGGCAACCAAGCCTTCCATCCTTCTGATCCTCTACACAGGTCCGGTTGGCTGGCACCACACACATGTAGTGCTATAAAAGCACGGGCATGTTCAATTACTGGCTACCCTCTATTTTCTGGTTTACTGTAGTAATAAATAATCTCATTGTCAGTTGAAATTTACCTAGATCTACTTTTTTCGCATTCCAGAAGCATGAGTGACTCAACCCTTCGAAGGCATGTCGAAGAGGTGCGGCGAAAAAATGAGCCGTCTACAAAGGTGTGTTGTAAAGTATTCTTCACCGGACCAGTCTTTATTGTAGAGCTGTTTCAGAGCTCGCCTACTAGCCTTCAAGCCTACTTCACTCTTGGCTCACCGACTAGTGAGAAAGGGATCAGAAAGAGATTTTCGCAACGGCGAATGGCTGGAAAGGACAACGAACTACATCTGTTGGAGGCAAGCTTCTTTATGAGATTCTTTTTCTAGATTTTCGAAGTTTGTACTTTTGTCGCTCCCTTCCAGGTATTGTACTCAGCATATTAATGTAGGTGAAGTTTCGAGGTGGGAATTGAAATCCCAGGAGCTTGTCCGGAGCATGCGAAATAGTCCCTTAATTAGGGGAGCACAAAATCTGTTCAGATTATTTGGTATACGAGTCGAACAGAAGCAAGATCATGCGAAACATACTTGATGGGTGAGAGTGAACGGGAAAGATCCAGGGCCCAATCAATTGACTGCTGCAAATACGCTATTTGGTGGGTGTGGGGCGCGACACTGTAGGCATCTTGAATTGCAAGAAACATTGCAAACCATCCCCACAGCCTCCCGATCACCTTCTTATTCATGCCTGACCTTCCTTTTCCCGTTCCACTTTTCGATTTCGCTTTTGGTTGTGTTTCGCTTTTTGTTTTTTTCACAAAGAGGAAGTAGTGATGGTTGCCTTTGCAGAATCTCACCCCCAAGCATACATCTGAAGATTTCTATCTTCGCTCGCCACGCTTACCGTTGCCAGAATTCAAACCAACAGACACAGATGGTACGGACCTTCACAATGTGCTTTTATTTGCAATAAATATCTGACGAGCGATTTTTTAGGTCCGGAACTTAGTCAAGCAGAACTGGAAAGTCTGATGGCAGTCTACGATCGTCCCCTCGATGACTATCTTGAAATGTTTATCCAGGTCTATTCATCTCAATCGAATACATACATACCAATGCCCCTCGGTGACATAAGGAGGCCATTTAGCTACTTCTGCTCTTACCACTGTCCATTTCAGTTTGGCTACGTCCTCCTCTTCTCCCCAGCTTTTCCGCTTGCCGCTTTCTGTGCCGTGGTGAATAACGTGGTTGAAATTCGTGTGGACGCCTTCAAACTCTGCAACACTGTTCAACGGCCGTTTGGAAGGCAAGTGAAGGATATTGGAGCTTGGCAGAAGGCAATGGAGGTACGGCATTTTGGTGATATCAGAACTGTCTTTTATCCAAGAATTTGTACTATCAATGGACAGATTACTGCATATTTTCAGCTGCTCGGAATGGTTGGTGTGATGGTGAACTGCGCTCTCATTGGTCAGTCTGGATTGGTGCAACGGATATGGCCAGATTTGAGTTGGGGTGGACAGGTAGGGTGTTCGATACATGTCCGTGACTGCCTTGAAGCCATTTGATTCTTATGTGGGATGGAACTATCGGGGGAACTCTTTTTTTTGCCTTCGCTTTCAAAATTTTTGTTTCCCTAAGTTTTCCCCGTGATTTGATTCGGTTGCGTGACACCCATTACAAGTGTGGGCGATCACTTCATCTTTCCCACTTTCCCATGTGAGAAGCCTTGGATATTTTGCTCCTGCTTAAGGACGATGCACACAGCAAATCCCTTTGAACTCCCTTTTGGCCAACTCCGTACCAGTAACAGAGCTGTTCAGATTTTGATCGTTGTCGTACTGGAGCACATTATACTTGCGTCAAAGATCTTCATCGATTTGGCAGTTCCAGACGTTCCGTATTGGATCCGAATAGAGACAGCTAAGCAGGAACACTACCGGAGGGAAGCATTCAAGGTCAGTAACGGGGATACAAAATAGAAGAATAGTAGCGAATGGCTAGACGATTTCAGCGAGAATCCAGAATGTTGTCATCGACCCGGACAAGCTGTGATTCTTCACCCAGCAACGATGTGTTCGATATGAGGCATCGTTCATTGGCTGATAATCGTTTACAACGGCGGAGCGTCACACCGGCCTGTCGGATAAGTGTCGTCAGAAGGGATCGAGATAGTCGGGACAGTAACTGTATCGATGATTATTGATCGGTAGCATTCCATCAGGTCTTTTTGGTATTTGTACAAAGTATTTGAATATGTGTTTTCAGATGGGTTACAGCTTTATCAAATTTGTACATAAAGCTTTTATGAGTATGTTTTGTACGAGTACCCGTTGCCAAAGTTTTTAGTTCTGGCAGATGCCCAACATCAAGGTAGTTATAAACAGTCCCTTCCTTAGGGGTCCGGGAATTTCTCCCCTAACACGGCGTCGCACACGCCGCACCCGCCGCCTATCGCAGGATTGCGATGAAGGATTGGAGCGCGCA